CCTGCAGCACCGGCATCCCATGTGGGTGCTGGTTTGAGTCCCGTGTGAATGCTGGTTTGAGTCCCAGCTGCTCCACTTCTTTTCCAGCTTTCTGCTGATGTGCCTGGTAAAGCAGCAGAAGATGGTCCAAGTCTGTGGGTCCCTGCACGTATGTGGGAGACCCGGATGAAACTCCTGGCTCCTGGCTTTGGTCTGGCCCAGCTCCGGCTGTTGAGGCCATTTGGGGAGTGTACCAATGGATGGAAGACTTTCTCTCTCTCTCTCTTTCTTTCTCTCTCTCTCTCTGTCTCTCTCTGCCTCTCCTTCTCCCTCTCCTTCTCTGTGAATGATTCTCAAATAAAATTTAAAAAAATAGATTGGGGTATGACATATATTGTATATATAAAATACATATTTCAGTATACATATTGAAAACTATGAGCTCACCATAATATCAATAAACATTACATCATTAATATCATCCAAAACCATACAGCTCATTCCAGTTCTTGTCTTTTGCTTATTTTTTTTTAAATTTGGAAGGCAGAGTTACAGAGAGAGAAGAAGATGCAGAGAAAAAGATCTTTTTTATATTTTTTAAAAGATTTATTTATTTATTTGAGAGGCAAAATTACAGACAGAAAGAGGGAGAAACAGAGAGAGAGAGAGATCTTCCACCCACTGGTTCATTCCCAAAATGACTGCAATAGCTGGGGCTAGGCCAGGCTGAAACCAGGAGCCAGCAGGGCCCCAACCACTTGGGCCATCTTCTGCTGCTTTCCTCGGTGTATTATCAGAGAGCTGAATTGGAAGTGGAGCAATCAGGACTCAAACCTGCACCTACATGGGATGCCAGCCTCTCAGGTGGCAGCTTAACTCGCTATGCCACAACACTGGTCCCCTTTTGTATACTTAATCTCCCTCCTCAGACAGGGAGATACACTGATTACCATAATCTTTACTGTCCTTACTTATTGGATCAATACACATTTAAACATATTCTTGTGCCCGCCACCTCCTATCCCATACAATGTTCTTCATACCTAGCACAGGGCATAACTCTGTATTGCATGGTTGCTGTGACTACTTCTTGATATAATGCAGTGCTCACTCCAGTAAGACTTCAATATCTCACTTAGGCTCTTCTGTAGACCCCCTCTCTCCTTTCTTGTGTTCCGTTCCCAGTGCCAACGTATTGTGGTTCCCTTTATGCCCATGTTCTCCATGGTGAAAAAGGCTCACTTGGCCTTATCTAATGGCTTTTGGACTAAATAGTTCAAGAAGAGGATGAGGAAAGGGGAGTAGAAAAAGATGAAAAGAATTTTCTTTTTCTAAATTTTATTTGAAGAGGTTATTTATTTAGGAAATTATAAAGACATTATGAAGTATCACTTGAACTCAACCTAGATTATGTATTGTTTACATATCTGTGTATCTATTTATATATCCTTTATCTATACATTTATCTGTATGAGGGCACTTCAGAAAGTTCATGGAAATGGAATTACAAGATACATTTATTGTGGTGCAAAAAATTTGAAGTCTATGCATAAGAGGAATCTTCAAAAAGTTTATGAAAAATGTGCATTATGAAAAAAATTATACATTGATACAATATTTTTGCAGTAAAATAAGTGTATCTCTTAATTCTATTTATTATGTGGTTTTGAAGACATACATGTACACTTAATTTGATGCTAGCAAAATATATGTAACAAAATATATGATATATATCTAGATATTTTAATACAGATAACTTTATATAGTGTCACCTGGTAGATAACTATAGTCCATTGCTATGAAAGGATTTGCAAAATCCCCAGCTAAGAGCACTTGAAATTGTAGTTATACTGTTCTAATTCCTCTTTTGTCACTGAGCTTTTATGCCATCTATTGATCTTCAGTTGCACCCTTTTGTTGACCTGCATATGCCATGCCTATCCCTTCTTTGTATCTGAGCAGATATGCTACAGTGGTGTCTCTCACAGGGCTGTATATAAGCCATTGGCAGCAGAATCTAGTGAAGTGCTTGTTAAAAGGCAGGTGTCTAGGCCCATCCTGATTTTCTGTTGAGAATCTCTGTGGGTGGTAGTGGGTATCCAGACCTCACCTCAGGTGATTCTCATGCTTTTGGTGTGGAAATGGAGACACAAATCACTTGTTTACAATGTCTCAGTGTTCACTGTTTAAAACAGGCAGGTTTCACCAGTGGTAATTTGGTTGTTCTAGCTCTTTTGACTTTTTTTTTATATAACAATTAACAAAATGAAATGTAAATGCTTTCTGAGATCTTGATTGGAGGAATCTTATAGATAGATCTTTCAGAATTTGGGAAATTACAAATGCAAAGGGTTTGTGCTGAAAGAGCTTTTTAGAGAAAGAAAAATTCTGGAGGTGAGTGTGTGGGAGAGAGTTGTAAGTTTAGAGAGTAAGGCAAGAGAAACACAGAGTAGGGCAATGTAGAACACAGAATGCAGTTTAATTTTTATTCTAAATGATAGCGGATTGTGAGCAAGGATATTATCTGATTTATTTCTCTTTAGAAGATTATTTTTGCGACTGTACTGGTTATACTATAAATATTGGAGCAGCAGGGAAAGGAGGGAGATCAGGTGAAAAGCTGGCTCATGTTTTCGATGAGGCAAACAATGACACTTGGAGTAGAACAGTGAGGTGCAGATGGTGAGAGGCAGATGGATTCAGGATAGATTATTAAGTTAGAGATGAAAAGAATTTATGATGATGAGGTGTAGGAATTGGCAGAGAGAATTTAGTAATGAAAACAAGGTTTCTCGCCTAGCAATTGTATGAAATATTACATATAGATATATAGATATAGATATAGATATAGATATAGATATAGATAGTACTATTACATAAAAAAATGAATGTTGACTATAAAACCAAGAGCAAAGTTACTTCTTTGATGATTGGAGAAAGGTGGACCAGACTAGAGCACAAGTGAAGGTTCAGCAGTCTCATGCTAGTTCTGAATTTTGGTAGTATGTTTACAGGAGATTATTCATCATTGTGTGCCATAACTTTCATAGATTTGTCATACTACTTTACACTTTACATGCATTAATTATGTAACAATTATTAAAATCATCTAAGTAAGAAATGTAATCCTTAGCCATTAATGATAAAAATGGGCATCTACTTCAAAATAACATATAAATTTACTCATAGCCTTTTGTATTATGAGGCTTTTCAACTACAAAATTCTTTCATTATTATATGAGAACCTTATGCTGTATAATGAAACTTCCTATTTTAGGATAATTTCCCATATTTAGGTGATACTATTCCCTAATCTGTCTAGAAATTTTATTTTATTTTATTTATATTTTTTAGAAATTTAAAAAAAACCTGATAACTTCATTTTCTGTTTCCAAGGGAATACATGAAAAGAATGAGGCATGAGAGACAACCTCATATATTGTTAATAAATACATACAAAGACAATTAGAATAGCTAGTATCCTAGCTAGTTACTCAGAACTGTTATTAGTGAATACATCTGAGTATGACATGTGGATAAAAAATGCTCTAATATGAGTACACTTCCTCCTGTTTTGAAATAAGTATCATAGTGATATTTTAGAGCATTACTTTACTGCTATATCTGGAAGTGTGTGCACAAAAGTACGCGTGTTAGTGTGTCTATGTGTTTTGGTTTGGTGTTGTGGTAACTGCATCATGCTATATTTTACATTTCTTCCCTTAATGAAATGGCGTTTGTTCTTGGGAATGGAGAAGATAGCAAAGGCACTTTACAGAGAAGTAGCTGTAGCAGCATATGGCTATACTACCTGTGGAAAAAGTATAAATAATGTTGTAGCAGCTAGTGATTCTGAAATTACCCATAACTATGCCATTTTTATATGACCTTAAAAGCTTGTTTTGCAAATAAAATAGCTTAGAAACTTACCTACTTTCTACTCATATTTTAGTCATTTAATAGGCAGTGTAATGTAGGAAATATGCCTAAAGGTAAATAACGATAAGCAAATTATAAAAATAAGTCTCCAACTGGAGAAATTGTAGGCTACATCAGTAGTCTGCGGTCCTGGCTTTAACATGAGCAATACATCTGCCATAGACTTTGATAAATATGCATCTAAGGTTGGTCTTCTAATTATCTTTAGGATCATGAAGACTCATTCATTCATTCAATAAATGTGATTGCTTACAGTCCATGTGTCAGTTACAGAAGTCTACACACTATTCTTGATCCTAGCCAAAACGCCGAGAAGTGATAGAAAACAACACACTGATAGGGAGCAAATGCTATACTAAACACTGAGCATACAACTGTAAATGAGAAGACCAGCTCCTGATTTCTACGTCATTATTGTCTTTTATCTTGCCGTAAAGTGGGATGTCCTTTCACCATAAGATTTAATCTCAAATTTCAAATGAAAATTGTCAGTGGATTCTGACTTGTAAAGGTAAGTGAAAACAGGGCCTCTTCTTCACATGCCCCACTCTCCTTTCATCATCTGCACTCACATGGATCACGCAAAGGGCTGGATAAAGAAGTGCCCCTAAAAAGAGCCAATCAATTTCCTCATACCATTTGCTTGGACTGTTCCTCACTTGGAAAACTTGATGGCCACGATGACTCTTAATTTTGATAAGCAACTAGAGGCTCATGGGTTCACCTATGAAAATGATTTGTCTTAGAAGGAAGATACCAAAAGGGTTAATTTGCTGCTCTACATGCTTAACCTTCTGGGATCTCCACAGGCAAGGAGATCATGAAGTGTGCTTAGTAACAATGAGCTAAAAATGGAAAAAAGCATAGTGCTGTTATTGTGTTCCTTCCCTCTAAGGCATTGTCTGATAAACATCACAGCATCCAAGGGAATTATGAATAGTTTTCTTGTAGGGTAGGTTAGATAACCATCATTACATCAAATAGTCATACCATATCATATCATATCATATCATATCATATCATATCCAGTTCCAGCACTCTTAATTTAAAATGATTAAATGTGTGAATTTTAGTGCTCCTACCTGATTGGAAACCTTTTTATCCTTTATTCATTGACTATATTGGATTTCTTTTTTCCTTAGAGATGATCTTCAGATTTTTATCAGACTTCACTTCATTGGGGGAAACCAGGACTTCCCAGAAAGTCAGGAAACTGAAATGGAGACAACAAGCAAAGGAAAATTATCTGTACATATAGTTTTACTTTTGACATTATGACAAGAGGCACAAGTTGTATGTTGGGCTTTCAAGTCAAGCAGACTTCAACGTGAGGGCAAAAGGGGCATATTTCCTGTGCGTTTTTCTTAAAAATCATTTCTAGTCTTCAAAATCAACCAGACCACCTTTTGTTAGTCTTTACTTAGATCTTCAGGAAATTAACTTAACTAAACCAATTCATAAAATAAACACATGAACTTGTAGAAGGATACTTCACAACCATCTTTAATATGTTCTTAAGCTTTTCATACACAAAAGCGTTTGTGTGTATGTATGTGACAATTTTTTTGATTATGCAGTGGAGAGAGAGAAAAAATCTGTTGGTGATAATCAGTGATCTAGAAAGAGGAGCATTAGGACAAAGGGAAGTGAATGAAGCAATAAAGTCCTGAGGTTGTGATTCCAAAATGATAATAGCAGGCTTCTTAGTTACTAAGGAATTGGTCTTCTCCAACTGTAGTCACACCTGGGATAGGCCATATATATCACTTCATCATTAATGGAAAACAAGTGCACCATCTTTCCTTCTTTGTACCCATTGGCCACTGTTGTATAAATCATTTCTTTTTTTAAGGTCATGTTCTTTCCCCTTTGTCTGAAAACATTAGGATCCATGAAGAGAGATGCCTACCAAGCCATCACTTGGTAAATGTACCAGTAATGGTTTTAAGAGGGAAATGTTTTGGGGATTATTTTAGGTTGTGTTTGCCCAAAAGCTGAACCTATGATAAGAATTTGAATGCAAAGTATTTATCTGGAGGGTCATCCCAGGAAACTCAGGATTCATGTGAACTGTGAATGGACGCATGAAAGAAGTCAATAGAGGTGCATCACCAACCAGGCTACTCTTCTGGAGAAGTATTGCAAGCCTTTCAGAGGAATTCTGTGAGATTCCGTAAAACATATACTAGAGTTATCCCCCAATCAGTCCTTGAGAAAGCTCATGTGCTTATATCCCAAATTCCTGCTGTGGTTGGTTGGTTGAAAGCTATACCCAGATATATTAACTCTTGGTTTTTCTGGTCTGCCCTAAAGTAGAGAGCTATAGGTAAAAGAACAATTCTGTAAGTATGCACTGGAATGATGAGTGCTGGGGAGATATGTGTGAAGAACTGACAGCATGTGACACAGTGGCAGTGGAGTATTAATCATGGCTTGTAAGTTCAAATGGATAATCTTAAATTCCTGGGTTAATGGTTTTCTTTTGACGTAATTACGAATTGACATACCAATAACAATTCTCTCTATTAAATCATATTAGGACCCTAAGTCCCTGATTTTCTAAAAATCTGTTGGAATATTTGATAGAATTCCATGACATAAAGTTGACCATTAACTCAGTCATTCAACAAACATTTACCAAAAGCTAATGTATGCCACAGATTAAGCTAGACACCAGTGTAAATATCATTAAAATTATTATCCTGCCATCTAGAATTCATTCTATTGTGGCATCTAGATAAGTCATAATTACATCAAAAATGATTACAGGTGCCTGTTCTGTGGCAAGCAGATTAAAGCCCTGGCTTGCAGCGCCGGCATCCCATATAGTCTTCGGTTTGAATCCAGGTTGCTTCACTACCGATCCAGCTACCTGCTAATGTGCCTGGGAAAGCAGCAGAGGATGGCCTAAGTCCTTGGGTCCCAGCACCCATGTGGGAGACCCAGAGGAAGCTTCTGTCTCCTGGCTTCGGATTAGTTCAGCTCTGGCCATTGCAGCCATTTGGGGAGTGAATCAGAAGATGAAAGATCTCTCTCTCTCTCTCTCCCTCTCTCTCTTTGTCTTTCTCTTGGTCTCTGCTTTTGTCAAATAATAAATAAATAAATAATAAATAAAACATCTTAAAAATGATTACAGAGTGAAATGAGAAGACACATATAGGACTTTAACTCACTCAATATGCCAGTAGTAAATGAAGACTATTAGTAGGTCTCTCTGCAGAATGCAATCCTCAAAATTAATTTGTAATGTGATAGAGAAGTGAATTTTTTATAGTGGCAAGAAAAAGAATGGTTAAGGAACAAAACAGAAAGGAGTATCATATACAATGGGTATAAAGTGTACTTAGAGGGATCTAAGAAAAGAAAACATGGAGAGGATAGTAGTAGCCACCTAACTAATGGCTCATGTGTGTATTGTAAGGATGTGAGATTTAGATCTACAGAAAACTGGAAGATTTTTTTTTTAATTGTAAACTTGACATTAGAAGGGAAGAAGAAAGAAAAGTTGATTTGCACAACATGATTCAGGTTAATTTCTGATTTGTTTTAGAAAGATGATTTGGGAAATACTATTGGGGATTGAGGGAAAAGTGTGGTTAAAATAAATCCTGGATACAAAACATTAGTTAATAGTCCATTAGTATAAGTCAAACAAGAAAATGGACATAAAAGGGGCCGGCGCTGTGGTGCCTGGCCTAAAGTGCTGGCATCCCTTATGGGCGCTGGTTCAAGGCCGGGTTGCTCCACTTCCAATCCAGCTCTCTGCTATGGCATGGGAAAGCAGTGGAAGATGGCTCCGGTCCTTGGGCCACTGCACCCACGTGGGAGACCCGGAGGAAGCTCCTGGCTCCTGGCTTTGGATTGGCACAGCTCCAGCCATTGCGGCCAATTGGGGAGTGAACTATAGGATGGAGGACTTCTCTCTCTCTCATCTCTCTGTGTAACTCTGACTTTCAAATATAATAAATAAAATCTTAAAAAAAAAGAAAATGTACATAAAGTTCATGACTTACTGTTCTTCGGTACTTGAAAAATGTTATGACAACACGTCTAGCTTCCATAGCATCAGAACAGAAATCAACTATTATTAAAATCAGCATTTCTGGGACTGGCACCATGGCACAGTGGGTTAAGCCACCGCCTGCCATGCCAACATCCCATATGGGCACTGGTTCCAGTCCTGGCTGCTCTACTTCTGATCCAGCTCCCTGCTAATGTATCTGTGAAATCAGCGGAGGTTGGCCCAAGTATGGGCCCCTGCACCCACATGGGAGATTTGGATGAAACTCCTGGATCCTGGCTTTACCCTAGCCCAGTTCTGGCTGTTGTGGCCATTTAGGGAGAGAATCAGCAGATGGGAGCGCGCTCTCTCTCTCTACCCCTCTGTCTCTGTAATTCTGCATTTCAAATAAATAATGAATAAATCTTTAAAAAATCAATGTTTCTATATGCAAAATGCATTATTTATCTCTATATTCCACATTTTTTCTCTGTATTTTTCATTAGTTTCATTATGCTATGTCTTGAAAAGGACATCTTTAGTTACAGTGTTTGGAGTTTGCTCAAGTTGTTGAATCTGTAGGTTTACATCTTTTGCCAAATGTGGGACCTTTTCAGTAATTATTTTTCAAATACTTTTTCAATCTCACTTGACCTCTCTTTTCATTCTGAGATTTTGAAGAAAAGTTAGTCCTTTTTAAATTGTTCTACAATTTCCGGAGATCTTGTTCTGCACTCTAGGGAGTCTATTTTTTTGCTGTGAAATTTGGTAAATTCTATTTTTTAAAAAGATTTATTTACTTAAAAGGTAGATTTACACAAAGAGATGGAGAGACGAGACAGAGAGAGGGAGAGATAGAGATAGAGAGAGAGAGAGAGAGAGAGAGAGATCTTCCATCTGCTGATTCACTCCCCAAATGGCTACAAGAGCTGGGGCTGGGCCAGGCCAAAGCCAGGAGCTTGGAATTTCATCTGGGTCTCCCATGAGGGTGCAGGGGTTTAAGGCTTTGAGCCATCTTCCACTGTATTCCCAGGCACATTAGAAGGGAGCTGGATCAGAAGTGAAGCAGCTTGGAAACGAACCAATGCCCATATAGGATGCTGACATTGCAGGCAGCTTAACCTACCGCACCGCAACGCCAACATCTGATAAATTCTATTGATCTGCACTGATTTTATACTAAGTAATCTTCACCTTACTCAATGAGGTCTTTATTTTGAGCCTATCCATTGAGGTCTTTATTTTAATCATTTTAGTTTTCAGCTATTCTTTCTGCTTGTTTTTATGTTTATAACTCCTATAGTCTTTGCTTACATTTTATATTTTTTCATTCATTTCAGTAATTACATAATTATTTGTTGGAACATTTATGAGATAGTTTAATTAAAATCCTTTTCATATAATGCCACAGTTGATTTTTCTCAGTGTTGATATATACAGATTGTCTTTTATCATTCATTTTGTGGTTTCCTGGCTCTTGGAAAGATGAGTAATTTTCAGTTATATTCTGAACATTGTGAATATTATAGACTTTGGATCCTATTTTGTTTTGTTTGTTTGTTTGTTTGTTTGTTTTTTAAAAGGAATTTTCCCTATACTGAGGTTGGTGAAAATGTACTTTTCATTGGGCTCTCCTGATACTACATGTGGCACTGCCTCTCATTGCCTTTCTGCACACAGATGAGATGCAAGTTCAGCTCTCCATTTGGCTTTGCTGACACCTTTCCAAAGAAAGTTGGGATTACTCAGATCATCTTATTTCTTCCGAGTCAGAGTAGAAACTCAGCTCCCTACAAGGCCTCTTGACCCCAGGAGAGGGAAAAGTGAAATGTCAACTGTCTTCCTTCCTACCACTCACTCCATTTATTTCTTGCAACGTTTGGGTAGAGCTTAGCTTCCCACTGCACCCTACTGACACCATGTATAGGGGAAAGTGGAATGTCAGTTAGCTCCAACTTGCATCGTAATGTAATTGATGTTAAGTAGAGCTGGAAGCCAAGTTCCCCGTTGGTCCCCATAACTGTGTTTGTGCAGCTTAGTGGTAACTAGCCCTTTATGGACTTGCCACTTTAAGTCTCCTTCCTCAGCAGGGGCTCAGCTCACCACTGGACCATGCTGAAACAACCCTGTTGGAGTAATCAGAGTGCTGACTGATTGTAGAGAGGGCAGAAGGGGATGAGGTGGCAGATCAACTCTTCTCTTGATTTTGCTGA